CTGGTGGGTGACAATGGAAGTTGACATTTGTCCAGAACTTTACGTTTACAGCCCTCTTTCACAAGCATTATCTCATAATCTTCCCTATAACCTTGGGAGGGAAACAAACACCTATTGAGCAACTACTCTATGCCAGGCAGTGAGTTAGATGCTATTGCATTTGTCGCCTTTCTTAAATCATACATCAGCCTTGTGAGAGAGTTATTATTAGTATGCGGTTTGTCCCAGGCAAAGAGTCCATACCTTTCATCATGTTTTTTTCATGGTGGCCGGTGGCCTCAGAAAACGTTAAGGACCATTGCATTGGTCTGTAGCTAATCAGTCACCTTCTGTGCCTCAGCCTCTGACTCTCAGCTGCCCATCTTGTCTCATATTGAAAAGACAAAGTGCCACCTTAGTCTAAGATGTAATTGTTGTCATTCCCAAACGGAATCATTTGACGGTGGTTCTGAAGGATTTCCACATTTCCCAAGCTGAAATAAGCTCCTAGCTGTCACAGCAACACGAGGCTCCGTGATAACCCCATAGTGCCCCCAGATTGAGGTCATGGGATTCTTTGATGACTCTGATCTCACGCCTTCCCTTAGGAGCTTGAGGCCATGAGCAGATACACCAGTCCAGTGAACCCGGCTGTCTTTCCGCATCTGACCGTGGTGCTGTTGGCCATTGGCATGTTCTTCACCGCCTGGTTCTTCGTGTATCCTTTCACTGAGCAGCCAGTGGGCCAGAATTAGTGAGGTGGGAAACTGAGGGAGGGGCCATGCTGGGCACATGCACCCTGCCAGTTTTGTTCCGGTGTGGGGATGGGGGATGGTAAGGAGGTTGAGGGAAGGCTACTTGACGTCCAAAGTCAGGTTGTGGCCTCATTTCCCAGGTTCAGGTGAGCTCAGTTCGCTCTTCTGGTTTCCAGGACAGTGAGCAGAGGGGCCTGGCTGGACTGGAGGCTAGGTACAGGGCCCTGTGGTGTGCTCAGGGGTCAGGAGGTACGAGGGCTAGTCCCAGCTCTGCTGTGTGGCCTAACCCCTCTGGGCTTCATTGTCATTATGGGTGCTGGAAGGGTGGTAGGAGCACCAGAGTCTAGGTCACCTCCTGGGCCCCTCTGCCCAGAGCCACACCAGCCACCCCTTTGCTTCTCCTTAATTGCCCTGCCAGTTATGAGGTCACCTCCACCAAATACACGCGGGATATCTACAAAGAGCTCCTCATCTCTCTGGTGGCCTCACTCTTCATGGGCTTTGGAGTGCTCTTCCTGCTGCTCTGGGTCGGCATCTACGTGTGAGCCCCCGAGGGTAAGAGCAGTGACAGGGTGGGCACTGGAGAGGCCTCCCCACGCCCCCATCAGCGGGGTCCTTGGCCTGCATGACCCCTTGGTTAATGGAGTGAGACTCCGCAGAATGGATAGGGACACCACACACAGGTACCCCTTTCCCTGTCTCCTGATGGGCATTTGAGCCAAGTGGGACCACCTTTGTCAGTTCTGAGGTCTCCACACTGTCCAAGGCCTCGACCTGGCTCTGGGATGTACCACGTAGGGCTGTGGGCACAGGCTTCCCGTGGTTCCACATCTGCATTCTTACCCGTCATACACAGTGATTGGAGAGCCGCTGGGGAGTGACCCAGCAAGGGGCCAGCATCTGGGACTTGCTTCCAGGAGTAGCATTTTAGTTAGTTTCAACGTTTTCAGTCATTGAAATAAATTTTGACTAAGCGACAAAAAAAAAATACCCACAACCTTGCTGCAGATAATCCACCAAACAGGTCACTTAGAATCAATCGGCTCTGGTGGCCCTGCTTCAAAGGACTGTGCCCATCAGCCCTTGCCCCAGGAGCATAGGGGTTTCGTGAGAAAAGCTGATGGAAAGAAGGGTCACTGCTCTCATTTTGATACCCCTCTTTTTCAGGTACCAGCCAGGCGGCTTCACTGAATCCCTGCTTTTGTAAATTAGTTTTTTTTACTATGCTGGAAATGTCCCACCTGCTGCTCACAATAAAGGCAGATGTGTGACAGCCCTGCCTGGTGCCGGTCCTGCGGGGTGGGAGTGGTGCAGGTGCTGGGACCCATGACTTCCCCAGTCCCACCCCTTCCCATTTCACCTGCCTTTCAGGTGGTTCCTGCTTGCTGGGAAGCCCTGCCCTCTGCCTATGAGAGGGATATGGGGAGTGTCTTATCCTTAGAATTGAGGGCTCACCTGTGGATAGGAAGGGGCTTGGCCTGCCCTCCACTGTGGCTTCTAGTGTAAACTTCTGTAGGAACCCGTACCAGTCAAGTCTGCCCTGGGCCAGTCCCCTCCTCTGAGTGGTGCCGGGGACCCTCGAAAGGCTCAGCTTTTCCCTAAGGTGGCTACTTTTAACCCAGGCAGGGCAGCAGTAGGTCCGTGGGGTGTGGCTAGAGGAAGGGGCTGCTGCATCCTGTTCCCAAGCTGAGCCTGAAGCTACGAGGGATAATGGGGTACGAAGCATCCATCGGGCTCAGGGGCCCCAGTTGGTCCCAGGCCCACGGGCGACCCCATCTCCTACCAGAACAATCTCAAGAAGACGGCGAGGCAAGCTCAGATACAAAGCAGTATTTATACATTTATTTATATACGTATATTTACTTCAGAAAAGAACAGTTCAGGGGACAGGAAGCAAGCAGGCCTGGGGCTGCTTCCCTCTGCCCACTCCAGAGTCAGAGTTGGTACGCGATAAATATGAGTCAAAGCTCGGGGCAGGAAGGGGCAGTTAAGTGGGAGGGAAGGGGCACACTCTGCACACGCAGGCTTTCCCGGGGTGGGGGGGCTGTAACATGGGCAGGGGCACTTGTGCATTGAGAGGCGCTCTGTACAGCTGGAAGCCTGGGGGAGATCGACCCAGTGGCTACAGGAGTAAATGCCAAAAGGGAGAGAGGAAGGGAGGGGTAGGCTGCTGGACCCGGGGTAGGGGATGGAGCCACGACACCCACTCACCGGCGCCCGCCAGGCAGCTGTCAGCCTCCAGCAGGTGGCCCACTGGGCTTCCCTGAAGCCCCTTTCCCTCACTGGGCTTAAGGCAACTTTAGTCCAAGGTTGACCTCCCCCCCCCACCCGCCTTGGCCCCAAACTCAGCACTGAGGACCCCCTCCCCAGGCATGGAAACAGCCAGCTGCCAACCAGATTGGGGCGATGCTGTGTCCAGATGGGTCCAGGGAGCAGTGGAGGGTCACCTTCCAGTTAAGCACAGGGGGGCTGCGGTCCAAGAACTTGTACCCCCACTGAGGAAGCCCCAGAATCCTATTAGAAGGGGCAGGGCTCGGCAGTTGTATGGCACTTAGGGAGGGTTCCCCCAGTGGGAGCAGCGCTAAGTAAGGCTCGGCCGCCAGCATGGTGTGGGGAGCCACGTAATTCCTTTGTCGGAAGGAGGAGCCACACTGGGGAGGGGGCTGGGAGGCTAGGTATCCTCGCTACCCCCATTCCCCCTGTGTTTCCCTGTCCCGAGGAGAAGTGCTTTGACATCCATAGCAGAAGGGGGCCCGCGCTTCCTAGGCTTATTCAAGATTCAGGTCTCCCACAGAAAGGCCTCCCACTCAAAGCTGAGAATGAGAGGTAGATGGGGCAAGGCCTGGCTCCCAAAGCGGTGGCAGAATATCACAGGGCAAGGACGGCATTTCTGTCCCCGTTTCTGAACCCATGGCTGACACGACGAAATGATTTCCACTCTCCTTCCATGAGCCTGGATGTGGCCTCAGAAAGCTCCGGATACCCACTAAGAAAGGTTAACGTTGGCACTTGAGATAAGACTTCTTCCGTAACCCAAGCCCACCACTGTGCTCCTGGGAGGAGTGGGCAGAACTGGGACTACTGCCGAGCACGGGGCCCCCAGCCTGGCTGCCCAAGCCCAGCACGGGAGCGCTTGAATCTGGGGAGGTGAGGCCACCAGCAGACAAGAGTGGAGGGAAAGGCCAGTCCTGGTGGTCGGGAGTGGGGTGGGTGTCTCAGAGCTCCCTGGGACGGATCAGAGCCAGGGCCCTGCCTTTCAAGTGTCCCCCCGGGGCTCTGGCCCACTCCGGGCTTTCCATCTCCATCCTTCGACTCCTGCCCGGGTTTAAGTGCATTTTAGTAATTATTTCATTAATAACAGCAAAAGCTATTTGCATCCACCCACCAGACGAGACCGGCCTGCTGCCTTGCAGGGATTCCCGCTCCTCTGCTCAGAGCCCTCTGTGAGCTCTGGAAGCTCCCAGGGGCCCAGGCCGCGGGGCCGCAATGCCCTCTGGGGGCTCACAGGGAACTTCCTTCCCTTCGGGATACTCCAGGTTCAAGGGTCCAAGGCTTACCTGGCCCACTGGCTCCCCTGGTTCAGCCAGGCACTAAGTGTACACAAGGCACGTGGTCGGTTGCCAGCCCATCCAGGGCTGGCTTCAGCTGCCCTGGGAGCTCTTGGAGCCAAGCTCTCCCAGGGAGAGGAGACCTCCTGGGCCATGCTTAAAGCTTAGAAGTCCAAGTCCAGTTAACAGTCAGACCCTAAGAAGTCCACTACCTAGCCCTCCCCAGGGAGCAGCTTCAAGGGTGAGGGCTGTCTGCCCTCCACTGACTCATGGATCCAGCCAAGTCTCTGAGGGCTCGAGCCAAGCCCCTGCCGGTCTCAAAGGCGGACGGGTCCTCTCTCCAGAAGAGGGGTGGCTCCCAGTCGCAGAAGGGGAGGCAGGAAGGGTGGGCTCTGGGCCGAGTCACGGGCTTCCCCCGCCTCTGGGGCGCTGCCGCCCGCCAGCCCTCCATCGGCCGAATCCGGACACATGTGAATCGGGCCGGCCTGGGCCCGGCAGTTCTCCCTCCAGCGCCCTCCATGGTCTGGGGGCGCCGCCAGCAGGCCCAGCAGCTCCAGTGTGAGGACTTCCAGTTTCACCAGGCGCGGGGAGGGCCGAGCCGCCTCAGTTCCTCCAAGGAATTGCCAGCGGCGGGCTCCAGTGTAACACAATGGCATCCAGTGTGGAGGGGGCGCCCGGGGTCCCCGGGCCCTGCTGTGGCGCCGCCTCCCAGGGCAGCTCAGTCACACAGGCGGTAGAAGCAGAAGTAGTAGTCTGCGGCCGGCCAGGCCGGGGCCTCCGGGCTGCAGCTGGCCCGACCCTGGAGGGAAGCGCAGTGGGAACCGGTGCGGTGGCTCCAGTGGGGGGTGGGCGCCAGAGGCGCTCGCCGTGCTGACGTCGCCTGACACTGCCCATGTCCCGCCATGTAATCATCAGTCCCCCCACCCCACCCCCCGCTTCCCCCAGGCCCCACCCTGAACCTCTGGGGGCAGACAGGGCGCAGGTGCTCACCAGCAATGCCACCCGGAAGTGATAGGTGAATCTGCGGAAGGACAGGATGGTTACTGGCCACTGGTGGGAGGTGCCCTGGGGAGAGAGGGGGGCAGAGGGGTCAGGACAGCTGCGCAGCCCCCCACCCCCTGCCCCATGCCAACCGGCATCCCTCGCCATGGCCGTCACAGCCCTGGCTCTGTGGCATGGTGTACAAAGCGGAGAAGCAGAGATCTGAAGAGAGATTGCAGGGCTCACTTTCTACTTCGGGGAGCAACAGCGCCCACCGTCTGTGTATACTCCGTGCCAGGCACCTGGGGGCCCACAGCCGCTGCTCTCTTACTGCCTTCCCTCTCACCACTGTGCTCCGGGCACATCCCAAGTATCTCGCTCACCCCATCCACACTGCAACCCACTGAGGAGGTGCCGCTTACAGACGAGGACAGTGCTGAGTTACCTGCCTAAACTCCACCGAGGCTGGGCAGAGCTGGGATTCAAGCCCTCCCCGCCCAGGGCCTGAGCCTCTTCAGGGCTCTCACCCACTCCATCCTCTACTCAAGCTACTTTCTGCACCTCTTTTCTCCCTGGCTAGAGAGTGCATTCTTGGAAGGCAAGGCCTGTTTCTTCCCTACCTCTGTCTCCCCTCAGCTGGGCCCAGCACAGGGCCCGGCACAGAGGAGGCCCCAACAGATATTTGTTGAATGAACACACGAGTGGGTGAGAAGAAATTCCCTTAACTTGTGTTGAGAGTCGCAACTTCGGGTCACATGGCCAGAGAAGAGCCCGACGGTGACAGGTTCCCAGACCAGGAGGCAGCCCCCTCCACACAGCCCAAGGGATCTTCCAAAGTCACAGATGGAACAATGCCACTGGCCCCGCCCAAGCTTCAGGTCCAGCCTCCTTCCCATCTCCCCAGGCGCACGGCCCTCGCCACGTTTCCAGCTCTGCCAGCGCGCCACACTCTCCCTGGCCGCCAGGCCTCTGCACCCGCTGTTCCCCTACTCCTGGGACGCTGTCCCCTTTTCTTACCCCAGCTGATCCCATATTGCTCTTCAGGTCTCATCTTAATCAAACATGACTTGGGGGCAGCTGGCCTGACCCTGAGGCCACACAAGGTCAGCTCTCCCTGCCACGGGCTCCCAAGACGCCCTCCACATGCCCTACCCGTCTCCACCATTGCGCTCACCCCAGGTTAGGCCTTGTGGAACTGTTTTCCTCCCCAGGCCTTCGTCAGGACAGGCACAGGACCGGGAGACACTCAGTGGTGAGCGGTGCACGCATGCCCCCCTCCCTGAGACACAGAGGCCCAGGCCCCAAGATGTCCTCCGTGGAGATGCCTGCACTCTTTGACTCCAGCTCCCTCTCCTCTCCCGCTTGGAAGCCCAGATGTGCCGGGGAGAGGAAGCTCCGGCCTGGCTGGCCCGCAGCTTCCCAGTCTCCTACCTGGGTGTCCTGGTGGGCATGGAGGCTCTGTGGAAAGCCCCCCTCCTCACACGGCTCCTCCTTTGACATCAGGCTGCACAGCACCACGGACACGGGGGCCGAGGAGCTGGGAAAGACCCAGTTAGCAGGGAAGTGGGGTTCTGAGCTCCTCCAGCCCAGCCCGCTCCCAGCCAGCCCTCCACCCTACCTCCCTCACCCCGGTGAGAAAGGGCACTGAATCCTCACAGCCTGAAAATGATGCGTAGCCGTCAAGGCTCCAGACGGCCACAAACCCTTTCCCATCCACCGTCCCACACAGCCTTCACAGCCCCTGGGAGGCAGCAGCCCATTTCACAGATGAGGAACCGATGCCCGGAGGTTGCCAGGTCACACAGCCAGTGAAGCATGGAGCAGGCAATAAAGCTAGCACCCCTCCTCAGCACGCCCCCCCCCACCGCCACTGCCTGGGACCACTGGGTCCCCATCCCCCACGGCGGCACTCACTTCATCTGCAGGGTCAGGCGGAGGTGCAGCGGCGTGCTGCTGCTGATGGGGATGTGGTAGGTGAAGTTTCCAGGCCTGAAAGGGCAAAGCTGGCTCCTCAACAAGGCCACCCTGCCCCGCCCCCCACCCCCCTCCCATCAACTCCTCAGCCCCCAGTCTACAGTGGAGCCCTTCAGGGGCCTGGAAAGGGGCTGCCCCACCTTGAGGGGGAAGTTCCTCCCCGAGGGGAGCAAGATCTGAACACCTGGACCGCCTGGGCTCATGTTACCAGAAGGAACCTGTCCTGGGGCGGGGGGGGGGGGGTGGGGGTGAGGGAAGGGAGGTAGCCAAGCCCACCTGCAGGCATCCTCTGAGGAGCAGTACTGGGACGTGATGGGCATCGAATTCTCCAGCACCTGGATGGAGGTCAGGGACGGCACTGGGTCTGCAAGGAGAGAGGCCACTGGTGCAGGAAGGAGGGTGACAAGACAGGACACAAATGAGAAGCAGCCAAACCTGTCCTTGCCCGAGACTCAAATCAGTCATTCACACCTCAGCAGGACTAAATTTCAGGTTATTCTTTCCAGACTCCCACAACAGCTGGAGTCACGCCACCATCTTCCCCAGCAGCCCTAGGACTACGCAGTTCCCATGAGCCTGAGGTGTGCCTCCTTGACGGACCCAGGACACCCACAAGTAGGGATGGGTCTTCCATATCCCCTGCACGGGGCGTACAGGAGCCCGCTCTTCAGGCCCCTGTTCCTGACTACACACATCTCTTCCCAACTCGGGGTGCAGTGACGTCAAGTTGGTAGCTTGAAATCAGCCATGGCGGCAGTATTCACACACACAAATCAGGGCCCCACTGTCCTTCGAAGGCTCAGCTTCAATGTCGCCTCCTCCAGGAAAGCCTCCCCTGATCATCTCCGCACCTCAGTCCGGATTCTGTGCCCTCCCCAGTCGCCAAGCTGCCTGTGTGTCCCCTCAGAGCCTCACCACGCTGCTGTTTTCGTGTCTGTGAGCCCCTGGGGGCAGGACACATCCATCTCCATCACCCCCGGTGCCCTGTACAGAGCCAGTCGCAGAGAAGGGGCCCAGCAAACGGCTGCCTGGTAAGCATCTACCACCACCACCCCCCCCCCCCCCCGCCACACACAAACACAAAATGGTAACTCTTAAAGGTGTTGGATATGTTAATTAGCTTGATTGTAGTAATCATTACACAAGGTATGCTTATATCAAAACACCACACTGTAGGCCTTAAGGGTTTCCCCATCACTCCGAACTTCAATCTCAGCAAACCAGTTTCTAAGCTTTTTTTTTTTTTCTCTTTAAGCCACAAAACCCATTGGATGGAAGTTCATGAGGAAGCCCAATACCCAGAGCAGAGGTGCCTCGTGGAAGCCAGGAAGGTTCTCGGCCTCCCCTTCAGCCTCCAAGGCAGCCCTGGAGAGATACTTCAGAGAAACCCGGTTTGAAAACCAATAAAGGGTTCTCTAGCTTTGTTAAAACCAAAGGTTGGAGGTTTGGAAAATTGGGGGGACCCTGAACAGTACCCTTCTTGCCCTGGCATGGTGACATAAAAGGAGCCACGTGGACTTGGGATCAAATTCCACCTCTGCCACTAACAGGCTGTATGACCCTGGGCAAGTCACTTCACCCAAGTTTCCATTTTCTCATCTGAACAATGGGGATGATTCCTTTCTCACAGGAGTGTTGTGAAGATTAAACGAGGCGATGGATATAACGCTATATGATCAGCCTGGCCTGATTCCTGGGACTTAGTAATGCTCAGCAAATGTCTGTCGACTGACAATTCTGCACCCAGGTATTCTGGTGATGGGCTGAAATGGGCCCCGGCCAGTGAGCCTTGCCGGGTTGGGCTGAGCGGGGGAAGGGGTAGGGCAGGTACCTGGCTGGCTCCAGGTCTGGGTGGGCTGAGCAGAGCTCAGGCCAAGCTGAGGGGCCCCTCGGCGGCCCCGGACATGGAGACCAAGGCTTGGGCTGTTCTTGGCTTTGCCCAGGCCTCCAGGAAAGGGCACCGCAGGGCTGGCCACAGGGTCCGAGTTCTTTGGATGCTTGAAGTAGCCAATGCCATTGGCTGACAGGCCCCAGGACTTGGCTCTGATGTTGGTGGCTGGCAGCAGGGCCATCTGGCTGGGGCCTGTGGAGAGAACCAGGCACAGGCTGAGAGGCAGGCACGGGCTGCCTCCTGCCCAGCTGTCTTGAGGGCCCGACTGGACTCTGGGTGACTCCCTTCTATCTCCTGGTCTCCTCAGGAGGAACCCCCAGTCTTTCTCCAGAGCCTCATTCTGGGCTCCAGGAGACCAGACCCTCCCACCAATGAGTCTTTGGGGCCTTTCTTAGGCCTCCTGTAAAAACCCCTCCAACCCAAAACCTGGCCCCAAGCAAGCCATACCTGAGCGGTTGGTGGAGGGGCCGGGACCGGGGCTGAGACCACGGCCAGGATTAAAGCTGGGGCCAAGGCTAGGGTCAGGGGTGGGGCTGGGGCTGGGCGAGGAGCAGCAGACGACTGGGCAGGGGCGGCTGGAGCACAGGTCCAAGGTGCGGAGGGCTGGAGCTGGGGCCGAGCTGGTCGGGCCAGTGGTAACTGAGGAAGCCAGAGGCTGTATGAGCCGGAGTGGGGCAGCAGAGCCCCCGACCCAGAACACAGCCACCGCTCCCCATCCCACCCCTCCAAACCCACGCCCCGGCACGCACCCAGCAGCAGAGAGGGCTGCGTGCCCGGCCGCCCAGTGGTCACAGGGGACTGTCGGAGCTGAGTGGTCCCAAAGCTCTGGCTGGACCTGCTGGGGAAGGGTGGGCTGAGCTCAGAGGGGCTGGGAGAGCCTGAGCAGGAGGACTGGGAGTCCCAGAGCAGCGGGAGGGGCGCGAGGAGGTGGACAAGGAAGGCAGAAAGGAGGCAGAGGCAGGAGGGAGAGGGCTTGGTCCAGACACGTACCATGGGCACATGGCCTCACTCCCCCCAGGGTGCTGGGGCCGGAGCAGGGCCAGAAGACAAGAAGTGGACACGGCAAAAGAGCTAAGGGGCAGCAGAGAGGAAAAGAGGGGGCAGGCACAGGGGAGGAGAGAAAGAGAAGACATGGTCAGAGATGGCCCAAGGACTGAGGGTGACAGTGGGCAGAAGAGCCCAAGGCCCCACCCTGGCCCTCCTTCCCCTACCCCTGTTCTAACCTGGGCCGCTCAGATGCCCCCTGCCACTCAGAGGCCCAGCTACCTGGAGGAGCACTGAGCAGGCCAGGGAGAAACATCGGCTTCAGTACGACTGCGAAGCAGCTGCCCCGCTTCCAGAGAGGCCTTCCCACCCACCCCCACAAAGCCCTGGCAGGCTAAGAGCCTGAGGTGGAACCCCCTTTAGAGGAGACAGCCTCCAGGGCTCCTCCGACCCTGGGCTGCCCACCAAAGCCCCGCCCGGCCTGGCGATGGCCCCCGCAGCCAGGCCTCCAGGGACATACCCATCAGTTTCCACCAGGTCCTCCTCGGCGCGCAGGCTCAGCACATACAGTGTAGACATGGACACCACGCTGGGAGCCACAGGAAGGGGCCACTGTTAGAGCTGGAGCCACCGTCCGGCGCCCTCTCTCCAGGGCGGGGCCTGTGGTTTTTGGTCCCAGGGGCTGGACTCCCAAGTGATGCCTGTACGCGGGTCTCCCCAGTCCCAGGGGGAGGAGACAGAACGAGGCAGCACCCCTTCCTTCCCCGAGACCTCAGCCACTTCACCTCCCAGGCCCCGCCCTCCTCTTCCCCCAGGACTGGGCCCGTGGGCAGCCCGACGTCCCCGGCCAGCCGCCCCCAGAGTCTGGGGGACAAGTCACCTGAAGGCCATGACCACCACCAGGGCGATGATGGTTCCCTGCAGGAAGCGCTGGCTGATGCAGGCCTGGTCTGGGACCACAGACGATGACTGAAGACCCAGAAGAAAGGGGGAGAAGGCGCAGACTTAGGGAGCCCACGGTCTGACCCACGGTGGGCTCTGCTGGAGGTGGGGCTCTCATGCCCTCGGGGGGCAGAGGGAGAAACCAGGGGCTGGGAGGGCCAGGGGGTGTGCGGGGGGAAGCGCTTGGACTCAGTGAGCCTGGAGAGGCGCCTGCTGGAAAAGGAGGCCACGAGGATGAGGAGGCCCCAGTCCCTGCCCCCCATCCCTGCCCACCCTCACCTTGCTGGCCACCTTGGGGGGCCTCTTCTTGTGGGGGACGCTGCCTGCCCGGCTGAACTGGCTCCCTGCGTGGCTGCAGCAAGAGGGCAGGGTCAGAGGTGCCTCTGGGAAGGGGGTCTTGCCCTCCCCGGCCCCGAGCCCCCACCTGAAGGCGCCCGAGCTGCCGGTGGACTTGAGGCTGTCGAGGCGCCGCAGCTTGGCCAGCTTGTGGCTCCAGCGCTCCAGCTCATCAATGCGCGTCTCCAGGTTGTCCGTCAGCTTGCACAGCTCCTTCACAGCACCCACGTTCTCCATGAAGATGCGCTCCTGCCGCAGGCAACGGCCAGTGTCGAGGGCACAGTCAGCCCCTGGGAGCCCCAGGCTACGGGCCCATCGGGGCGCTTGAGGAGGGCACTCAAAGGCTCCCTACCCAGGCCAGCCTTGCCGCTCGTCCAGCCTCAGCTCCCTTGGCTCCCTGTGCCTGTGTCCGAATAGCATCCCACCTCTGCACCTTTCCCCACCCACGGTCAGAACCCCCTGTCCCTCAGAGGCTCCCACCCTCCGTCTCCCCATCTGACGAACACGATGTCTCAGACTTCAGTAGAGGCCAAAACACATCACATGCTCGCTGGTGCCCGTCCTCACGCCAGGAGGGTTACAAACATTATCCTCACGACAAACCCCACGTTTAAGCTTTGCCATAACCACATTAGAACTTCTTAGCGGTAAGTGTAGTTTCCCTCCTTTTGCAGGGGAGGAAGATGACGCTCAGAACGTTCCTCTTGCCCTTGATCGCACAGCTGTAGACTGGCAGAGTCCCCACCTCCCACCTCCACCTCTCCCAGTGGGGTGGGGAGGGGGCTCTGGAAGCAGCATGAGAGAAGACTGGGGGGCAGGGGGAATGCTCCTGTTCTCTGCACTTCAGTGTCCCCGGTCTCTACGGAGGGCGTGAACGCCCTCCAGCGGGTCCACCCCTCTGCCCCTTGGGCTCCCTTCAGTCCCTCCTCCACAGACCTTGTTCACCACCAGGAAGTTCTCTATGGTTTTCCCATTGGCAAAGACCACGTCTCCAGTGTCCTTCACGGCCTCAGGCAGGATCTCCTTCACCTCCTGAGCGATGACACCTGGGGAGGGGCAAGCCAAGTGTGTGTTGTGGGGAGGACTGCCCACAGCACCGTAATGTAAGCAGGGGCAGGGATCGGTGAGGGTGAAATTCTGGGGGCTAGAGATTTGGGATCCAGGGAGCCCCGGAACAGGGGGCTCCGAGGCACAGGGTGGCAGTTCCAGGGATCAAGGTGTGGGGTTCCCTGGGCTAGGGATAGGGGCATATTCCAGGGAGTAAGGGCCCCAGGGGAAAGGGAGCAGGGATCCAGGAGAATAAAGGCAAGATTCATCTAGGGAACAGAGGAGCGAGGATCCCGAGGCCACAAGTCCCAGGCTTCTGGTGTCAAAGGGCGAGGGGTCCGGCCCGAAGGGCAGGTCTTCCGGAGGGCCGGGATTCCCGGGGGCAGGTTTCCAGGAGTCGTGGGAAGGGGTTCCCGGAAGTAGGGTTTCCAGAGGACAGGGACAGGGTCGGGGTTACCAGATCCCAGCATGCGCACGTGAATCCTTACCCGTTTCTGGCGCCGCGGCCTCGATGCCAGCAGTGGCGGCAAACTCTGGCTTGTATCTGTAGTGGACCAGCCGCATGCGCGAAATCCTCTTCAGCTGCTCGGTGGTGTCCACCTGCGCGGGAGCCAGGGCCGAACTGAAAGCCTCCCGTCCTGGGCCCGTCCGGAGGCAGCAGTGTGGAGGGGAGACCCTGCTACTAGGGTCGCGGGATCCAGAGATCCAGGGCCAGCCTCCCCCAACTCCTTCCCTTGCAGCCCCGCCCCCTACAGAGCCCCACCCGCAAAGCAACCCCGCCCCCCGCGGGCAACCCCGGGCACCAGTTCCTCCCGCTCAGTTGTCCCCGCCCACAGCCCCGCCCCCACCTCCTGCAAGTGCTCCTTGGCCCGCAGATCCGAGGGGTGCATGAGCGAGCCCATGACCTTGACGTTGCCGTGCACCACCAGCGCCTCATCGGGCCGGTCTGTGTTGATGCCCACACGGCCATGGTGGAAGACGGTGTCGGGCACCTGCGCCCGCTGCCACAGCACATCGCTGTCACTCTCAAACTGGCCCGGATTGGAGGCCTAGCAGGAGTTGGGGTTGGATCAGCCCTGGGGGATGGGGGACCTGCAGCGCCCTTGGAAAGGGGGAAACCCCGCAGCCACCTCTCCAGCTCCAGCCAGACCTCCTCACCCCACCATGAGGGGCGGCTTAAACTGTCCCTCCCATTGTGGCAACCAGGTCCTGGCCACCTCCACACTTTATTGTGCAGGAGACATTGTGACCCGGACAGGGTGGGAGCCTTGCCCAAGGCCACACAGCGAGTGCCCAGCAGGGTCAGCATTCCGGCTCCTGACTCCTGAGGACCCCTGTATCTCTCCTGGGTGCTGTCTCTCCCAGGTCTTGGGAGGACTCTCAGCCCTCTGCGGGGAGGTGGCCCTCACCCGCACGATGATGCGTTCTGAGATCTGGGCGGCCAGCGTGTAGTTCTGGTTCTGTGCGTGGGCCTGGAGGGCCACCACCAGCATGAAGTACCTGGGGCACACAGGGGTCTTAGAGGCACCCAGGGGTCTGCCCCACTGCCTCCCCACCCCCCGCCAGCCTTCCTGGGTCAGGTGTACAGTGCCCACTCGGTCAGCAGCCAGGAAGAGGGCATGAACACCCCGTCTCACAGAGGAGGAACCTGAGTCTCCACTAGAGGGCGGAAATTCCCCAGGGCCCACCAGCTAGGAACCAGGCTTCTGCTCTCCCATCTGTAAGTCATTAAGGAAGGGCTCTGAATCCCAGGTCCCTTTTTTGTGAAATGGGTGAGTCTGTGGGACTCTGTGCCTGGCGTGCTATGTGGGGTGGCACCCTCCCGCCCCTCGTCCTCAGAAATGGAGCGGCTCCAGGGCAGGGGCCCAGCCTGCTCACCTCTGGTCAGGGTTGGGCTTGCCCTTCTTGCGCATGTTGTTGGCGGTGGTCTCGCTGAAGTGCAGCCTCCCCACAGTCACCTTCGTGACCTGCTCAGGGGGCAGGCTGACCCTGCAGAGGAGGGGCAGGGTACTCAGGGCGCAGGGAAGGGGGCTGCGGAGAGCCAGGCCGCAGTGGGGCACTGGGGTCAGGAGTGTGTAGGAGGTGCACACTGTGGGTGCCTTCCTGCGCTCCCCTCAGCTCCTGCCAGGGTGAGCCCTCCTGGGGACCACCCGCCACGGGCCAGACACTCACGTGACAGGGTTGAAGGGCCGCTTGCTTCGGTCCGACTGCGACTGCTCGATGTTGATGGACTGGTTGAGGGCCTCCAGCTGGGGGAGGGGCAGAGGCCAAAGGCACCTCAGGGCCCAGGTTCCCCACCTGGTTCCGCCCTCCTTCGGCCTCTCGGCCCAGGCCTGGCCCAGCTGGGGCTCATGAGGAAACCGAGGCCCTGCCCTCCCCTCAGCGCACGAACGCTGGTGCCTTCTCCTACACGCCACACATCCCACAGCCCCACACCCACGCCACTCCCCCACCTATGTGCACACGCATGAGCGTGCACACACACACTCACCGGCCCCCACTCCCATTCGCACACCCCTCCCAGCCCTGAGCACACACCCCAAACCGGCCTCCACAGCCACCCGCTCACTCGCCACCCCACATTTCCCAGACCCAGTCCCACGCCCACTTCCCCTCAAGCCCTCCACGAGCGCTGGCTGCGCCACTCGCTCGCGACACTGAAGGAGTCGCACCCGGCCGACACCCCTGGGAGCTCATGGGCTCAAGATCAACCACCACTGTGGCGGTGCCGGGGGATCGCAGAGGAGGGACCTCAAGTCAAGATGGGCCTCAGGGCAGGTGTCCCCGAGGATGCAGCAGAGTGAACGGTGAAGGTCAAGGAACAGCGGCGAGCCGGCAGAGGAGGGATGGAGTGGTGTTCAGCGGGCGTCCCAGGGAAAGGGAGCCGCCTGGGGGAGGCGGGGCTGCGACTGGGCACAGCGAATGGCATGGCGGGAACCGGTGAGGCTGGGGTCCCAGAGGCCTCTGCAGGCCCAGCCTAGCAGTCAGGGCTTTGCTGGGGTGAGGGAGATGGAGTCCCGGAGGCCTTGGAAGGCAGAATGGGAAAGATCTCAGGCAGGAGCCACAGAGGAAGCTGCTGAGGACGGTCAGACAAGGAGGCGGAGGTGGGGGGAGGGGGAGGGGACCAGACAGAGGGGAGTTCTGGGGGACAGTAGGTCCTGGTGCATGGTGAGGGGTGGGCAAGTGAGCCCCAGATTCATGGCTCAGGTAATCAGGGCCCTGGAGCCCTGTTCCCAGAGAGGGGGCCCGGGAGAGGGGCAAGTTCCCAGGGAGGTCATTTGGGGGTGTGGCACTGAGACGGCTGACAGTGGGGTCAGAAGAGGGTCCTTGGCTGGGGGGCGCAGACTTGGGATCACGGGGTGGAGAAGGAAACAGGAAGCGTACCTGAGAAGAGGGCTGAGGGGCCTGACGCTTAAGGGGCAGGCACGGGAGGACAGGCGGAAAGAGGGGACTGGACTTAGCCACGAGGGGTTTCCTCAGGACACGCTCACCTGGCCTTGGGCTCTTTGCGCTCCCCCCAGCCTGCCCGCCCGCCCTCCTTGCCAAGCCCCAGACCTGCCTTCACTCCATGCAGCTTCAGATAGAAGCAGTCAAGGGGCTTGAGGCCCTCGGGCGTCTTGACGTACTTGGGCTCGCCCAGCATGCCGACGTACACCGTCACCTGGAAGTGGTTCTTCTTCTGGCACACGAAGGCGTCGTCGCCCACCGAAAAGTTGAAACCCTTGTCGGCGTCCACGCGGTAGGTGAGCATGGGCCTGGGGACAGGTGGGGGCACTCACCCGAGGCCCCGCACACCGGGCTTGCCTTGCCCGTCCCACCCACGTGCCTGCGTTCCAACGCAGCTTCCCATGTGGTGCCCCCATCCTCAAAGCACTCTCGGGGCTGCCCCCATTTCTCAGAGATGGAAACTGAGTCCCCAGGAGGATTTGAGCTCAGGTCTGCCAGTGCCTCAGCCAATATTCTTCCCACTACGTGCCTGGGACCACCCCACCCTGGTGATGGGGGCAGGTTGGGCAAGACACTTGGACGGGAGGGAACTCCTGAGGAGGGGGCCTGACGGCCCCTCACCACACTTGGCTTCTTCCCAAAACGCTGCCCGAAGCCGTCTCCCTCATGGGAGACGGGGTGAGAGGGGATGCGTCTGTGGAGCCTCACTGCGCCTGACAGCTGGTTGCCATGGAAACGGTGGAACCAGGCGCCGGCTCTGCGCTGGCCCAGCCCCTGCCCACCAGCTTGCTCAAGCCCCCAAACGTCCTCATTCTGACTCCACCATCTGCCCGATTGGGGAGGAGGCTCTCTGGGCAGCCTGGCCTCAGTCTCAGTCTACACATCTGTTGCTGGCAAGGTGTTCCAAGTCTGGGCCCTTTGGGGGACCTCCAGGTGGACTGAAAGGGGGTGATTGTTGGGCCGCCCTCACCCACGTCCCCAGGCACAAGCAGTGCCCCGGATGCCCAGGGCCCGCCTGGAGGAAGCTGTGTGGGGAGGGGCCTTTGGGCCTGGCTAACATCCACGGGGAGGCCCAGAGCTCACTACCTCTCCCTCCCTGGGCTCCACCCACCTGCCCAACCCAGGGGAACACCCAGGAAGTGCCTGGGCCACACTGGGGCCCTCAGCTGCCAACTTCCTGGCCTTGGGACCTGGGGTGGCAGGGCTGGCCCAAGAAGTATAGTAGGAGGAATGGGGGCTCCTCACCAGGCCATAGGGCTGGACAGCCAAAGACCTCCCCCCGCCACCCAGACAGGGCCTCCAAGGACCCTTTCACCACTACATCAGCTGGACGCCCCCTGCCCCAGCCCTGAGGGCTTGTGGCTAACAACCCGACAGAGCCTGGGACACCCAACTCCAGGAGGCTGGTCTAGCTGCGAGAGGGCCAAGTCCCAGACACCCTGCCCAGGCCTGGCAATGTCCAAATGAGCTGATGGTGAGCCATGCTCTCATCGCTCACTGGCCTTCCGTGGGAGTGAGGGGACTGGTCCCGGAGCGCTCCTGGCCAGGTCCCAGGAAGCTGAATCCACATGGGTGGGTGCTGAAGGAGAGCGAGGAATGCCCGGCCAGCCTCTGACCCAGTCCTCCCCCACCCACTCATCCCTCCCCTCCAGGGAGGGGGCTGCTGGAAGGGCCTTGCTGACGCTCTGCTTCCGGCTACCTTCCTGGAATGCAGAAGGAGGAGTGGGGGAGGGGAGGGGGGGGCCAGAAAACACCCCTCCACCCACTGGCCCCTCCCTGGCGGACACCAGCTCCTTCAGGAGGCCTCGGGCTGGCTCCGGAGTCAGGAACCCTGAGCGCCAGTCCTGGCTCTTCCCTGAGCCTGTCTGCTCTTCTGTGAAACAGGACCATCTCGTGGCTCCCCAGGCCTGCTCTAGGACGGTGATGCCAGGGCTGGGGGTCTCCGGACGGCGTGACCAGGAGGGGTTAGGGGGAGCACAGGTCACTCACAGCTCTTTGTAGTTAGCATCGTACAGTGTCGCCCACTTGTTCTGCTGATGTGGTTGCCACTTGATGGACTGGTAGTTGGGGTCCAGGTAGGAGCCACTGAGGCTATCATTGTCCTGAAGGAGACCTGGAGAGAGAGAACGGCCATGGGCCACGGGCTCTGGGCCCCGGGCCCCGAGCCACCGCCCCCCCACCCCGACCTTGAAAGCTTGAGCAGGCCAGCCATGTACCTGGTGAGGGTGCACCTGGTGGGTGCCAAGGTGGCGTCTGGACCCTGGCGATGCTGAGGGGCAAGGAGCCAGGGCCAGGTGAGAGCGGGCCCTGGGGAGGCCAGGGTGGGGATGGGGCTCGAGCTGGGTGCGGTGGCAGGGATGTCACGGTCCCGGGCTCCTGTTTGATCATTCCATTCAGCATCTGGGCATTGAGGGTGTTGGGGGGTGATTCGGAGTGCTTCCTCTTCTTGGAGGGGTGTGTGGGGAGCCTGGGGGGGACACAGGTGTGCACCATGGGGGGCTGGCCCTCCCCGAGCCCCATCCCACTGGGCAGTACCCCCGCTCCCCTCTTCACCCTGTTTCAGCAGG